TGTATATGTTGCATGGTGTCTGAACAAAGTATATAATATTATTTAGCATATCTGGAATTTTTACAAAGTATACAAAAGTTTGGGCTTAGTACATTTTTTTTTTCAGGGGAATCTAACTTGGACAGCACTCACTCACAAAATGTCCATGCAATTTGGCCTAAGCAGTAGTCTGGTTTTAAGAGGCCCAGGACATAATAAGCGTGGAAAGGAGATTACCCTTTCACCTTTAGACTGAAAGAGGGTGGTCCCATTAGGTCAAGGGTAATGGGCATGTACTGGTAAGAGGAGGTTTATTCAAAAAGATGCTCATTATTGCTGACTGTGTGTAGAATTGACCAGTGGATAAATACAGGGCATCGGTTAATGCAGCTGCCAATCTATCACTGCACTTATAGGAATAAAATCAATCAGGAAAACTAGAATTTGAAAAAGTAATAGTTTTGTTGCATTTTGAGTGTCTGATGTCTCACATCACACTAACCAGTTAAATTACGTACTGTATAAGTAAAGGAAAAAAAAAAACATCTTCTCAAGTTTAATTGAACTTTGCAAGAATTACGTTGCTGTATACTAGTGTTATTTCCACCATTTCAACATTGTGATAAAGCTTAATAGGGAGAGAAAGTAATTATTATGCAGCTTGCCTTTTGTAAGTCTTTCAAGAATAAAGTAGATCTGAGAAAAACATTACTGCTGTTAATATCTGATTTCACTCACTGGAATTTTGTTGTTCACATTTGTTTTAGGAACTTCCAAAACTGCTTCTAGATCTTGCAACATCAGATGCTGACCTGCCCTGGAACAGATCCAAGAACCGCTTCACAAACATCAAGCCATGTATGTCCAGCTGAAGTTGCATCAGGTTTACGGTGGGGGGGGTGAAAATCTTTCACTACACTCTCTTTAACGGCTCCAAAGTAAGGTGAACAATCAATACACCACAAACAGCAGATGCAAGAAACAAATCCCTTATATCTATTTTATTTCATTTCAGCTTTGCAGACTGAATATGAAATTGATCACTGTTACTCTCTTCTTTTGCGAATTTGTCAATTCTAATTTGTAAATTAGACTGAGAGGAAATAATTCCAGACTTGTATTAGCCAAACTAGCCATTTATATGCAATAAAAAAGTTTACCAAATACCTTATTCATTTTTTTCCCATCTACAATATACTTGAAAAGTTAGCATCCAAAAACTGTCAAAATATGAGAACAGGATTATGATTTAAGATAAAATCATAATCCTGTTATGGCAGAAGACTCTTATTCCTGTTTTCAGTGGTCCTGGTCTTGGTTAATAAGGGAAGACATGCCTTTGTTTTTGTAAGCATTAGCTATGATGTGAGATCAGGGGTGTCTGACATTCCTTTGGTAATGTAACTACATTCTATGATATTAACTTTTTTGAACAGCTGGTGGTGCTGATCCTGGGTTCTTTTTCAGAAACAGATCCTAATACAGGCTGCAAGAACTTTGTTCTTCTCATGTTAATTGAGCTACATTTAAGTTACAAACATAATACTTCACAAACAATCAGCAATCTAGAGGCGCGCTCACATCTTGATCTTATTCAAGGACAAACCTTTTAGCACTAAGGTTAAACCTTGCTGCTTTTTAATTCATTTTAAAAAGAGTCATATAGGGATTCTTCAGAAAACAATTTACATTGCTTATAGATACAAATAAGTAATACTATAAGTATGTTATCAGGATATTTTTACTTTAAGCAGTACATCAGTAACATTTGTATTCAAAGAAAAGGATCATAGAAAAATAATTACAGATGTATTAAATCATATGTGAATATTTCAAAATGATAAGTTGATAAAGAAATGTAAATGTGCATATGGACAATATTACAATAATGTTTTAACAGATAATAAAATATCACAGTATCCTCAGAAGTAATATGTGTTGTGGCACACTTATGAGAAAGAAAACCATTTAGCTGCCTTTTGTTTTTCTCTAAAGATTAATGTTCCTTAATGTCAATTTACATCTGGTCACAAAGAGATTAGAAACAAATTGTTAAATAAATTAAAATGATATAAAATGCACTTTCACATTCCTTAATAAATATTGCATTTGAATTTCTGAAGTCAGTTCTTCAAATCTCATTAAATTACTTTATTTTGTGAAGAATACTGTGAAGAATGTCTTCAAGTGGAACAGAACATAACATAATACATCTCCATGATGTTAGCAGTTTGCACTGTATGAATAATAATTTCACTGTTTCCCAGATAACAACAACAGAGTCAAACTTATGTCTGAGCTCGGTGTACCAGGATCTGATTACATCAATGCCAGTTATGTGTCAGTAAGTATAAACATATTAGTGATGGAGAGATGAGAGAATTTCTCCAAGTTCTGCTGGCAATTTATTGCGACAGTTATGTAAGATTGGTAATGCACGGTATGTGACAAAACTCCTCAAAATACACAGTGAAAATAAGAAACTGAGAAAATGAGAGGTCATTTTAGAGAGTAAACAATTACTTCAGTCATCATTATTAAAATTCACTAATGTCTGGGGAGGTTTCATTGAGTTAGTCAGCATTAAATGCCATCATAACTCTTTAAAAACTACACATGTATAGCTATTAATATACTGTAACTGAAAAAGAAAAGGAAGTTTAACAGTTTATAATATCATCTGTTGTACCGCTTTTTGGTCTGAAAAAATAAAAAGTTCTTTAGGAAGAGAAATATGCACGTGACTAGATACTTAGTACTGTTTGTATTTTCCCTGCAGTAGTATCTGTTCTGCAGCATACTAAGATTCACTGGTGGTAAAATTAACTTCACAACTGAGAAGCCTACTGTTTTTTACAAGAATACATGTACAGTGGCTGATAACGTTTTTCTGGCAAATTCTAACAATTTCCAGAATTTTTTCCAAAGTAGATTTAGAACGTTTTTCTATTTAATGCCATAGAATTTGTTGGACACCAAAGAAGAACTTGTATATGGGTTGCTAGAATTGTATATGAGAATGTCTCGTTTGTACAGTGACATAAGCCACCCGAGAAATGTTGCTTGCCATAATGGGTGACAGAGAGGGAGTGGAATGTTCCACTAGAGGTATCTTGTGATTTCTGTGTGGGTTTTTCCATCCCATCTCTGTCATATCTAGAACTATTATTCTGGGTATTGTCATGTGTATTTTTATCTTCTGAAATGTAATCTCCCATCATGATGGAGGACAGTAAAAGTTAGTTTATTAAGAATGTTGTAGAAAGAAGGAAATAAATTGAACAAACAGACCTGGTTTGAAAAGACTTATTAGTGAATTACAATATCATGATTATATACTGTTCATTTAGGAGTTTATATACAGTATGTTTTAATTGATATTTTAGTCCTTTTTATTTTCATTTTCACGAATATAATGATTAATGCATGCTGAAAAGAAATAGAGGAATAAACCTATTGTTCCTTTGCAGCCTATGCATGCTGACGCAGTTACCCACCTGAACTACTACAATGATTAATGACATTATGACATTATCACATACTATATTTCTGGTAAAGACTGAAAAAATTGTTAAATGTATAGTGCATCCAATTTTATTTTTTGCATTACCCCCATCCCCTTACCCTTCAATAGATCAAATATCACTATTAACTTTGTCATTGTAACTGGAGAGGGAGTCCAGTTACATTTCAGTCATATCGAGGGAATGACATGAATTTTCCTGCCGTCAGCCTTCACTTTTGAAATGACCTTTGAAAAAGAATGGCACACTGAGTTACCGTAGATGTCCTTCTAAAGCATAGTATGCATGTGATCTGTTTAGTCAGCATATTTATCTGGCTTTAGGTAAGCAAGCCATAGTTTTTAATGATTAAAGTTAAAAGTTCACACTCTTAAGCCAGAAGTATTAATCCATTGGCTGTATTTACTCTAACTCTGTCCAAATATTTCATTCTGTCATAGGGCTATCTGTGTCCAAATGAGTTCATAGCCACCCAAGGTCCATTACCAGGCACTGTTGCAGATTTCTGGAGAATGATATGGGAGACCAGAACCAGGACTATAGCCATGCTAACACAGTGTTTCGAGAAAGGCAGAGTAAGTCATGGACAAATACTGAAACAAACCCATGACCAATTTGTCTTTCTTCCTCTGTATTTCATAATGGCATTGTGTCTCTTATTCTAGATCAGATGTCATCAGTACTGGCCTGAAGACAATAAGCCAGTTACTGTGTTTGGAGATATTGTCATCACCAAATTGGCAGAGGATGTTCATCCAGACTGGACTATTCGTGTTCTGAAAGTTGAAAGGGTGAATTATTTACCCCCAATTTTTTTTAACTTCACCAATAATCTTTTATTACAATTTTCTCTTCAGCAGTTTTTACTATCTCAGTTTCCCTGCTTCTTTTTTTTCTAGCATGGTGATTACATGGTTGTAAATCACTTCAATTTCACCTCTTGGCCAGAACATGGAGTACCTGAATCTAGCACTGCACTAATCCAATTTGTTAAATTCATTCGCGCTAACAGAGCCCATGATAACACAACTATTGTGGTACATTGCAGGTAAGGCATTCTAAAATATTTCCATAAGTATGTCTAACCTATACTGTTACAGTATTAATCAATTAAAAATGCATAATTTTTTAGACCATGAAAATGGAAACTTTGGTTTCATGCCACTTAAATGTTTAAGTTCTAAAGGCACAAACTTAACAAAAATGTCAGAAAAAAAGTGGTGTCACCCCAACTCAAATACACAACACATTATTGGGGAAAAAGTAAGCACTCTGCCCAAAAAACCCTTTCAGGTTAACTGTTTTTAGGCTATTTTAAAAAATAATGATTTTACTCAAAACTATGTAAGGGTGATAATGGAACTAAATATATAAATGTATTAGATTTTACTCTCCTTTCAAATCAAAGTTTTAGATTTCTTCAGATAAAAACAGCGCCTTGCTTTCAAAGGAACCATTTGAAAAGAGTTGCTTATTTACAGTAAAATATTAGGATACAATAAACCAACTTTCCACTTCTGATTTTCAAGGTTATACTGTATAAATGTAATATTAACCAAAAGCAAGTTTATACAAGTGTGTGAATATATACAGTATAAAATATTAGAAGGTCAAAGGTAAAAAAAAAGTTGAGACTAAATCATGCTGTTTAATAAAGGTTGTTCTAATATATGACATCCTCATTTTTGTGTTTTACTTTTAGTGCTGGAGTTGGAAGAACAGGTGTGTTTATTGCTTTAGATCACCTCATACAGCATGTAAGGGACCATGATTTTGTGGACATTTATGGTCTTGTTGCAGAGCTACGCAGTGAGCGAATGTGTATGGTACAAAACTTGGTAAGAAAAACAATTTAATGTTAATCATCAATAAACCATTCCTTATTGCTAAACGTTCTGTCTCACTATGTTAAGTAACAGTTCCGTTTTAAAGATTGTTCATCTAAATTTAACTTTCTCTGACATATGGTAAAGAATATAGCAAGGGTAACATTGTGTTTATTGTGTCATAAATGTGAGGAAATAAAAATGTATTTTGTATCATACTGTGTATTGTAAAATGTATAAAGTCTGTGTACAAAATCAGCAAAATAGGAGCACAGCCATTTTTAGTTAAGTGCTTTGATCATTCTGAATGACTTAAAATATCTGTAATTTGAAGAGATGTTGTATGATATTTGTGGATTGGTGTAGTTTAATTTGAGCACTTTTCTGAATTAAAAACTGAATCAAAAAGCACTTTCTAGGATGTAACTTTTACCTTCTTTCCCAATGGATTCTGTACAGGCGCAGTACATGTTTTTGCATCAGTGTACACTTGATCTGCTCTCAAGCAAAGGAAACAGCCAGTCTGTTTGGTTTGTAAATTATTCAGCTCTTGAAAAGATGGACTCTTTGGATGCCATGGAAGGTGACAATTTTTCTTTGAAATATGTACAGTGTATTTTAGAGTTTATTGTATGTGCATACAGTATGCATTGAATGCTCTTTAAGAATAATCTCATAGTGTACTGGATTTATGATATATTCCCACAACATTAACTGAAATAAACATAGTAAAATACTGGATAACTAATGTAGGAATGTTTTCACAGCATTAATTACGTTTTATAAGGCATAAAACCCTTATACTGTATATGCCTTTTAAGTTTCACTTACAAGTTATATGCTAAATATTTTAACCAACAAGCTAGGATTAAGAAGTGTAGTAATAAAGACCTTTTATGGTCCTTTTAAAATATGCCCTCAACAATGTGATTTAGGCTAAATCACTTCACTGAATTCTGCTGCTGAACTCATGGCCAGGAAGACATTGCCTGTCCTATTAAAAGTGTGCTTATCAGGCCAATAAAATGAAAACAGAATGTGATTGAATACTTCTGGCAATATAATATAATTTGTTGGAACTAAACCAGACATCTGTTCTGTTATAGAGTTTCTAGAAATTAGAAATTCCTTTACCAGTGGTATAATAATACCTGTATTGGGGACATTTTTGAGTCCCTCATTTTCCTTTACCTTTTACTACTGTTTGATGGTATTAGTGCTGTAAAAAGAATACAGTAAATCTTTGAAAGAATAATCTCTCAAAGACTGCTACAAGTAAGGTATAAATTTATTGTTTGGGCTCAGTTGTAAATTTATTTAGTTTTTAGTGTTAGTGTGATATAGTTAATAGAAAATAAAAGTAGTTTAACATTTTTACCTGGAAGATCACTGTTCTCTGGAAATACCACCATACGAATTTGGGAAACATTCCTAGTTGATAAACATGCCGTTATGCTACCTTTGTTGTTTCCTTTATTGTTAATCCCTTGTAGTTGTTTAAATTTTGTATTATAGGCTTTACAATTTTCCAGAATTGTTGAAGTCTTTGTAAAAGTTAAACTGATCTCATCAAGCATGATCACATTAATTTTCCATCAGCCTTCTACAGTCAGCATGCAGCACAAGATTTCTTCCAATGCAAACTCTTCATATCTCTCTCTCTTCATATTTCTCTTTTAGGTGATGTTGAACTTGAGTGGGAAGAAACTTCAATGTAATTCTGATAATTATTTCATGAGGTTAACTGATTTTCATCAAAGATTATGAAGTTGGGTGGACTTGTTTGGACACTGGGGCCAAAACCTTGTACAGTACATAGGCTTTCCCCTGAATTGCTATGCTTACCTCTGTGCCTTTATTTCAAGTCCCACTGTAGATCATAAATGACAATAAGCAATATGAAAATCTTTGCACATGAAGTTGATTGCATTTAAGCAAAATCTTGCACTGATAATTTAAAGTCTCTTTTCTTCTTACTTTAGATAATTGTATTTTTTGTATGATAAATCAAGCCAAACAAGTCTTTGAATCTGGATTTTGTTTTGTGTGTATATGTTGGGTGAATATAACTTGATATGTTTTTTTGATGTAAAGATTCTATTTCTTTAGACTAAGTGTTTTTTTGGCCTCTGTATTGTTGATATTTCTTGTGGTTTACTTCCAGTACTGTCACAATAAACCCTATTTAAGTATATGTTCTTTTGCTCTGAATTCTAAGCATTGTGTTTTGTGGCAGAGTATATCATGATCCTTAACAGCTGAAAGTCAACCCTTGACACTGAGGAGATTTATCTAGCACTCCAGAGCACACAGTAGCTCTTCAGAGACTCACGGGAGATTTTAAACCAACCTCTTACTGTCCAAGTTACCTCGACCTTTCCCCTTACTCATGCATTTATGATGTCTTAGAGAAGAAAACATTCCATTCAGTGAATTGCTAAGACATGAGGAACAATTGATGTCGCTTTCCAATAATATTATGTGTGTAATAATTAGAATCCATATGTAATAATAAAGGTTATTTCAAGATACCAGGTTTCACACACCAATTTGTACCTCAACTTGTATAATAGAAGTGGTCATTGTTTTTAATAACATAGTTGAAGAAAATATATTTAAAACTAATTACATTTCACTGATATGGTGCTTATTTTACCAAATGTTTAAATTGTTTCATATGCATTATTCATGACTGTAGATGTTACATACTGTAGATCAAATTAAAATACATAGTAACACAAAACATGCCCTGTAGTGTGAAAAAAAGCTAATTGCCCCTCAAAGAATAAAAATGAAATGATTTATAACCTCTCTTCATAAGTATTTGAAAATGCAAGGATTATGCATATATAAGAGTATTTATATGATAAAATACATATTGTAGCATCAGTCTGTTCTTCACTACTGACTGATATCTCTGGGAATCGAGTGTCTGTGGTTTTAACAGCAATGCTTTTTGAGAATGACCCAAGGCTTAGGGTTTAATGGTGGGTGATGTGTTAGAGTAGGTTGGACAGTCTCTGTGGAAGATAGGGATTAATGATTTAAAAATGCTTAAAGGATAGCTGTCCAAATATTGCAAAGAGGAACATTTATTATCTACTAAGTTGTTTTACTATATAATTATAAGTTATTTTTGCTCATATTGTAAACATCAGCACAACCCCCTCATACTGGTTTTCAGCAACACACCATAACCATGCTTCACCTCCTTAATAAGTCAATGTTGTTTAAAATAATAATTTTATTAGCAGGACAGATTTTGCTTCCATGTATAATTGTTGCCGCTTTTCACTCTCCTACAATAATACAGTGGAAAATATACTGTATACATTATGTTAAAGGGTTTATTTAATGTATTTACCTGTGTGTTTTACTTTCATACATTGTATGTTAAGATCATTGTGTAAAGCAAACTCAGTTTAATGTTTTTTACCCTTAGGTCTTTAACCATGACACATGTAAGAAGCTGTAGAATCTGAATACTTGAAAAGAATAAAATGTGGCATTTGAAGTGTATACAATATGTATAATAATAACAGGTTCAGTTTTAAATGAGTTTATATTATTTTGTTTCTTGATGTGTATGTAAATGCATATATAAACTCACATATGGACACACAGGAAAAAAATATGTAACATTTCCTGATTGTGTTCCTGTCTTAGACAAGTCTAGACATGTTCTGTCATTTTGAACACATGCTAAATTAGGCGCTGCTCACAACTGGAGTTGTTACAATTAACAAATTAACTTCATTCTTTTTGTTTTACTGTACAGTATATTAGATATTTCAATCTTCTTGGTAACTTTACTTCCCATTCCTGTTCCCTTTACTTCCTTCAGGTCTCATGTTTTTTCATGATTTTGTGATTTAATACTGACATAACTAATCTTCACTTATTAATATTTTTTAATAGGTAACCAAATACCTTTCTTCTTAAAATAAATACTTGGGAAGTAAATACTCAATATACTGAAAAAAAAACTTGTCCTATTAGTCTATCAGCGGTAGCAGTTTCTGCATGAATTCAGCAATTACAAATATAATTCAAAGAACTCTTGCCATAACTTAATAGTACAGGACACATATCTTGCCTTTTCAAGTCAGTAAAGATTAACAGACTGTGTCTACGTTTTCACAACACAAGCACATATTGTTGGGCTTCTGTTTAGCTGCACTCCTCCACATTAAGCCAACAGCGGTGGTACAAGAATCCATTTACAAATGGATCCAGTATTCAGAGAGGCCGGACTTATTGGAGAGATTGCATCAAATCCTGTGAAATCCCTTCAGCAGCTGATGCTGCAGAATAGTTCCATTGAAGAAATACAGAAGAGCCCAGTTCTCTTAAACAGGCAGTTGTCAAAAGCCTGTAGTGTTTCAAAATTACAGGCTCAGAAAATTATTAATGGTTCCAACTGGGTAATTTTCATAGAGCGAGGATGGGTCTCAGGGCAATGAGAGGTCACGAGTCGCATAGGGCAATGTTTTATCTATTTGCAAGCCAAGCATGACACTTAATGCATTTGGCCCAAGCAGATTATTCTGAAATATTTAACATCTCACACAAACACATAAATAAAACAAGGAAACAGCACATTCGTGAAAAAGTATTTTTAAGCCTTTATTTAAAATATATTTCCTATGCATTATGGAAACTTTGACATAGTGACATTCAAATATATTTGGAGGCATTAACTTTTAGATATAAGATGGCCTGAGCAAACTTTTTCTCTCCGCTTTTATGAAAATAAAGTTAGGTCAGATTTCCAGTCTTCTGGCCCATTGACACAAATCGTTCCTCTAGTTGTGTACACTGTAACTATGTGTTTTGTTATCCCTCCTCCGATCCACGGTTTTCTCCGAAAAATACTTGAATGTTTATGCAGAGTTATCCATTTGTCACTACGGGGCCTGACACAGGCATTAGAGCACCTGCTGTTTGAGCCTCTGTTTCACAACCACCCACAGCAAGGTAACTGGAGATTTGAAATGGAATCCTGACATAGCCATTCTCCACTGTTTGCTTTGCAAGGTGGTATGGGCTTTAAACCCAGACTTTGAAATAAATTACTTCAAGAAAATGCTTAGCTAATTGGAGTGTAGGCCTTAGCAAAGTGGATCCATTTATTGCTTCATTAATTGTGATAATATTGTTTGTTAAATGTATTTGTCACCGATGCCTCTTATACTGTACATTTATTGAACACTAATCTGAACTAGCAAGAGGCAGAAAGGAAGTTCTAATTACATACAGTGTACATGGCTACAGGGTTGGTGATGTAAGCATTGGCATAATCTAAATTGTAACTACCATCCATCCATTTTCTAACTATCGCTTCCAATTCAGGGTCACAGGGGTGCTGGAGCTCATCTCGGCTTGCAGCGTGCGCAGGGTAGTCAGTCCATCACAGGGCACACACAGACACCACCACATTCACACCAGGGCCAGTTTTCCCAGATGCTATTTAACATACAAGTACATTCTTAAACTTTGGGAAGAAACCAGAGCATCCAAAAGAAACCCACGCAAACACAAGGAAAACATGCAAACTTCTCACAGATAGCACCCCAGATCTGGAACTTTCCCAGAGCCAGAAGTGCAGAGGTAGCAATGCTAACCACTGCGCCTCTGTGCTACCCATCTTAAGTAATATTACATAGAATTAAGGTGCTCAGCAAATGTAAAGGAGGAATAATTTCAAATATAATTAAATGAATAATATGCTGTATTAAGCTTAATAAACGAATCCATTATTTTATTTAAGAAATAATGCCATTATTTTCATTACTTATGACTGGGATGACATTGCATACAAACAAGGAGATGCAAGGTGCAAGGTCAATATACACAAAAGGGGTGAAAGGAAATGTGCATCATAATTATAAATTAATCTATGAATGCTTTTCAGGAAGAAGCACAACTGAGGTCTCAGGAAATGTTCTCTTTTAACATCCACCCACCTATTTTCATCAACTACTCTGTCCTTGGAGGGTTGTGGTACGTCAGAGCCTAACCCAGCAGACATAGGGAGCATCCCTGAATAGGATGCCAGTCCATCGCAGTGAGTCACACACAGACATTCCCACAAACGTATATGTTTGGAGTAACATAGGGATCCATATCAATGAAGCTGATACCCTGGCTTGTTTCCTTGGCTGGATGAGATCCTGTATCAATTAAGTACTAACTTCTAAACAGGCTGGACAGACTAAAACTCTCCTCTTATCTGGAACCATTTATTGATCTTAAGACATTAATTAAAGTGGACAGCATCTCTGTGGACTGTGAACATCCATAATAATCAAGACAACTGAAACAAACACACAAGGAACAAGTGAGACAGTGAGAAGCCACCATCCTGCCCTCTATGGTAACAGTCACCAATATGGAGAGGATATCAGCATTAGCTCTTACTTCAATTCCAGTGTCAGACTTGTACATCTACTGTAAGTTAAAACAATCCCAACCAAATGTCATCGTGGCAAAGTTCTAAAAACACTGCAGCTGAGTGCAGAGCATTGTGCCAGGCAGAATTTGTAGACTCCAGTGGACATTGTTGAACTTTCTGTATGATACTGTCATAACCAATACGAATCATTAACACAATTCTGCTGCAAAATTCCCTTGTGAGATTGGGATTTTTAATGTAGTGATATCTTAGTATCATTTTCTAAAACATACTTAACACATACATGTATTTAATGTGTGTACATCTGTTAAAAGGATATATTGAAATGTCTCTCCTAGTATCACAAAACGTGTCAAAAATGTTAATGTCTTGCCATGAATTTAGAATGCCTAAATCCCAACCTTTCAGGAGCATTTGCATCACTGGATTTATAACAAAACCAACGAAAAGTGCATTAACAATTAAGTAGAAAATATTTTCATTACCAACAGCAACATTTTTCACTATTTATATTTATTTGATATTTTGCCTTTTTTAATTATATTTTTTTTCTATAACAAATTACATCAATAAATACTGTACATCACACCACACACACACGGAGAATAGCTTTTTGACTCTGAGATATACATGTATGCGCAGAGGGTATGTCCCCTTTAAAATATATTTGACAGCAGTCACGAGGCCCTGTTTGCGTTTGAAGTTCCACATACTATATAGTATCGTAAATACAGTCATAAATACTAGCTATGTGTATGTTAGTTTTTATTAATAAATCTTATAGTGCACATTCTGTACAGAGGGCAACAGGTGCATTCTACTTTTCGGGAGACTACATGTTTCCCTTTAAGAATTTGTGTGTTAAAGTGCTGTATGTTTGTATCACGCCAGAAGATTATATTATGTTAAATTTATGTGTGGAGGTAACGTGTACAGCAGTAAATCGATCAGTACAGTGAATACACATGAACATGCACATGAGTTGCTGTTAAATTGTACAAACTTTCATAATCCAGTGGGGTTGCAGTAATATATGTAGATAAATTAAACACTTCATGCTTATAGACCTTCACAATTTACAGTACTTTTAATTTTTAAATACCCCCATCGTCAATTTAAATTCTGGAGCAACAGATAACTCGACAGCAGCCATTGCTTGGTATGTCCCCACAAAGTACAGTATGCTGCCGTTCATCTGTGAAATAAATATTAGGGGCACCTGTCATGTGTTCGAAGTTAAGTTTCACCTTTCATTGAGAGGTGTTAACGTATTTGTTTTTTACGCGACTTATGCTGTATTGGTTATAGTACCCCAAGAGACTCATTGAAATCAGATTTGGAGTTTGATGCACTGCGACAGCCAAATGGATTGAATTTCACCTGCTATATATAAGCCGTGTGACTTGTGTCATTGGGCTATTTAAATGCTATCGTCGGAGTTGCACTTCTGGTTTACAGCACTTGAGTTGAACACACAGGCCACAAAGGTGAAAGCACCATGATGGATCTTTTTGAGACCAACGCTTATTTTTTCAACGATTTGCGCTATCTCGATGGGGACAGTGGACCCTTGCAGAATTTGGAAATTACCGGAGTGTCTCCTTTGTACCAAGGGAGTGATAGCCCCTTATCTCCAGGACAAGATCAGGTTCCTTCCGAGACTGGTTGTGACAGCAGCGGGGAAGAGCATGTTTTAGCACCTCCAGGGCTCCAACCACACTGTGAGGGACAGTGTCTCATCTGGGCTTGCAAGACGTGTAAAAGGAAATCCGCCCCAACAGACCGAAGGAAAGCAGCAACTCTCAGAGAGAGAAGGCGGCTCAAAAAGATCAACGAAGCGTTTGAAGCTTTAAAGAAAAAGACGGTGCCAAACCCAAGTCAGAGACTGCCCAAAGTGGAGATTCTACGCAGTGCAATAAAGTATATTGAGAAACTTCAGGACATTTTACATAATCTGGATCATCAGGAAAAAACGCAAGAAAATGACCCTTTTAACTATAATCTTAAAGAACATCATGTAAGCACTGCAGACCTCTATCTTCATATTTTCTTTTTGCCTTTAGAAAAGTGTGATGAATGTAAACATATTTGCCTTTACTTTCCCCCTTGAAGTTAAAATAGATTTTTGCTATGCAATTTTTCTCCTCTTCGCAGTGGGGTGTCAAATGTTATTTTACCATAGTGCGCTTTATGGAAACAAATTGCAAGCAAGGCTGTTGTAAGATGTTTAACAGAAAAATGTTATATATACATTTATTTTAGGTTTCCAGCGTGGAGTCCTATGGAAGAAACACTTGTCATTACAACTGGCAAACAATTTCCGACCATTCTAATTTATCATCTATGAATCAAAGAGAAGGTGGGTGAAGAGCACATACAGAACCTGACTATGGTTTCTATCCATAATGAAAACCTTAACTGAAAATAACAAAACAGAAAAATATTTAAAAAGCTTAAGATCCATAAGCCTATTTTGTATCTTTGTTTATTATATACTGTATTTATGTCAATATAAGAGCTTTTGTGCATGCTACCTAAACGTACAGAATGAAAAATAAAAGTTCACACGTGACAATATTTTAGGTTAACTGAAGTCCAAGAACTGGATGTGTTTTTTTTCCCTTTATGTTAGGATCCGGTATTGAGTCTTCAGCTTCAACCAGTCTCCGTCGTCTCTCTTCCATAGTGGACAGTATATCAAGTGAAGAACGAAAAACAACGTACAGCGAAGATGCCTCTGAAAAATAAGTTTTTTTTTTTCTGAGGCAAAGACGCTTTTTCACATTTCCAGTACAGTATTTTCATAAACTTACGAGTATTTCCATTTGCGACGGCAGTGACTTTCGACTCGTGAGTCTGTTAGCCAGCGCTACTGCTTAAACAGTATATCTAAATATTGAAACTTTCATGATAGCTTTTCATTCCCCAAATGATTCGTAGTTAAAACCGAATGGTCTTTTTTTCTTAACGTTTTAACGAGAGACTGCTGTAAATATTAATTTATTCATATTTTGTAATTAACAGGTTAAATTATTTTGTATTTTAAAAAATCTCGTATTATCTCTAAATAAAAAAATTACTATCAGTAATTATGTTTGTACATTTTATAGTTCTACTCCTGGTACTTGCCTAATGCATCGACTGAACTACGTTCATAATGTTTCAAGGTTTAAAATGCAGAGAATATTGTACTGTACAGTATAAAGTTTATAGAGATACCTGAGTATTGCTTAACTTTACAAATACAGTTCAGATTCCATTAAAAACGAATAGTCCGACATTTTATTTCAGGGTAAGATATTTATTGCTTTTTATTGATTTCATTTATCGATTTCATTGTTTGTAGAACTATATAATTAAGATAAAAAATAAAATATCGTCAAGTGAAATACTCTTTGCTTTAGTTTTTATTCTTGGGGGACATTTATGACACCCTTCAATCTATACCCCCTGCCCCACAATTAAAATATTAAACATTATTGCTAAACCAAAACGAACCTCTTCTGTTATTGGGTGTGAGAGTTACATCACGACCTATCATAAAACACTGAGCAATTCTTTTGTTCAATTGTTCACTCGCATGCAAATATTTTATTTTAAACGTTCATCAAAGTTTAGGCTTTTACTAAATATACAAGGAATTGTGCTTAATAATAAAATATATACGCTGCAAGATGTAAGAAGATGTACAATTCAAATTTCATGATTATAAGCAACATTTATTAATAGGCCACATGAATTATAGACGCTTTATAATTATGTATTTCAAAATTAATTTTGGGTCAGTTTGTGTTTTTAACTTTTAGTTTCTAAACAACAAAAATAAAATATATTCGTTATGACTTAAATTGTATAACTGTATTTAGATTAAAATGGTATTTCTGCTACAATTTGGAGTTCTAATGGGGTCTATTTTAAAAAAGGGTGATCCATAACTTTCCGAAATTAGAGACACATGGAACATCATAGGACAACCAGCACATGATGATCTAATGTATAACCAAATAAAAAAAAACTCTAATCCAATGTCACTTGGATTAGACACAAGTCACTTGAGGGTTGAAACTGATTTGTGCTAAAAAACAATGACACTGGGAATAATTTGAATACTGAAATAATATATGTAATTACATTTAAGTCATTAAAATCATTTTATGGAGTGGCTATTGATTATGATAGACAGTAAACGCCTCTTTTTTCTCTCATGAAAATAGCATCTGTCAAATACGAATAGGCAGTTTTAGGAAGTCTTGAAACAGTGAACGTCTGCATAGTACCAAGCTACCTGTAGATGTACATTCAAAGTTTATGTTTGTAAATTTAGCTTCATTTTGCAAAATCCCATACAAAGTTACTATATTACAATTGACCAAAATTGTACCACAGAACATTTTTACAAAACAATTTTTTAATGAAATGAGCAGAATTTTGTTTAAATAGCAATTACATTAGCCTTCATTCATTACCCCTACTTCTCATAAAATACAGCCTGATAGATTCATTAATCCATTTTTCTTTTACTCTTTGTTTTTCTCTCTTGCACACAACACACATATACTTTTTTATATAGCTGCACTTTGTTGATCATTTTGATGGTTACAAGAGTTTCAATTAGCAGTCTGCTTCATGGAATTGGCTACAGCTGACAAGAAGTACTGTACTGCTTTGACGTTTGTTAAAGAAGCTCCCAGCATATCCCAGATTTAAGGCTATTAAAAGACGTAAAATGACACTGTCCCAAAAATAACCTCAGATGCCTCTTTGTACCCACTTGTAATGTGTGTGTAACCCAATTCCCCTTTTACAGTGACTTGCTTCTTAGAGCAATTATAAAAAATAATTCATTTTTGGACAGGTTTAATTAATTTAATGATCAGTTTTGCCGTAGGTGGAACAACAACCATAAAGAAGTATCTTGATTGCATTCTTTATTATTTAATTTCCCATCATGTCTGCTGCTCTCGTTGAGAATAAATAAGATAACTCTGAAGATTCTGAGTACTTGAAGTGGTACAAAATACTTGTGAAAAACAACAGATGATGAAGATGTTTTGTTTTCTTTTCAGGAGATTTAGAAGGTTCAGCAAGAGAGTGGTAAATAGGTTTAGTAAGATTATCCTGGTGTCACAATATTGTTAATGTATCTCTCTCCTTTGGTATGTTCACATGATAAACAAAAGATGGCTCCTACAAAAATCAAAGTGGAGGACAGTTATTCAAATTAACTTTATTATTACAATTTCCTCTTCAGGTTTTACTTACTAGTCAAAAACCGGTTGTTCAAATTTTAAACACCAGGTCAAAATATTTCTGCTATTCATGTTGAAATATTTGTTTAAAATGACTGAATGAACATGGAAATAGTTTTTCTTGGGTTTATGCAAACAATTTCCACCACAATTTAGTTTGATTGGCCAATTGTCTTTCCTACGATTTGCTTCTTTAGCCAGAATTAAAATAATCAGTGGTTCTGTTGTCCTTATTTTCTTTTGCAGCGTCCACACAAGTTATTTGTGACTACATGGCATTTCTAGCCTATCTTGTTCTAAATATTTCATTGACTGTCCTGTCGATGACATAGTCAACATCAGGAAAGCTTTCCTGCTGTGAGAGCAAGCCAGCATCTCCTCAGATCTTTGCCTGCGTGTATGTCCGAGCAGACTGACCTGGTCACCTCTTGTCAGCTCTATGCCTCTATATGAGCCACAGCAGCTCTGGCTTCTTGCCATGCGTGCACCATCTGCCTGCTTGAAAAAGAACATAGGCAGGCAGGTAAGAAGCCCTTTTATCAAGTTGACATCACCAAAGTAGAGACTACATCAAGTGCAAAGCTGTCTGTGAGGCATAAGAATGAAGAAGGCTATGAGACATTCAGTGCCTTGCAAAAGCATGCAGATCCTTGTACGGTCTTCACATTTTGTTACTTTAAAGCTCACAGTCATGACACTTTGAGGTGGCAGTTCAAATTTATAATATTTTAACGCATACGGTCACCATTGGTTGTGAGAGCCAGGGACTACAGCCGCCGGGCTGACGGGAGATCTCCCTTTACCTCAAGTGGCTGGGTCCCTGTTGAGTGACACCGGAGGCCAGGGTTTGAGTCCCCGACGGTGGGGGGCCGACCTGAGGTGGCAGTGGTGAGGGCGCATACCCAGGTGAACCCGAGAGCGCTACAATATACACAATCAGCTACACACATTCAAACCAGAAACGTAAGAAGCAGAAAGAAAGTAGGCCATACAAAATAGAAATGGACAGCTGTGGCAAACTTAAATTAATTCAGGTGCACAAAATAACCTGAACGAGCCACACAAATGGTTGGGTGGTCGTTGTCGCTGAATTGTTTATTGTAAGTGACACTGCAAATATGTGGCAAAAGCTGTTGTGGGCAAATGAAACAAAAATAGATCTTTTTGGTCTTAAGTTTTATGCTTATGTTTTTCTGTCAAATTATGCAATGTGTGATATCTGTAAAAAACCCCGACACAGTGTATCAACCAGTCAGCTCCATCCCTACCTACTGTTAAGAATGGCAACATTATGTTATGGGGCTGCTTCTCATCAGCAAGGAACTGGGAAACTTGCAAACTTGAGAGGCAAATGAAGGGAGCCAAGCACTGATCAAAGTAAAGGGCTCATAGTTCATTTTGTCTTTCTTGACAGTTGTCCAGTTCCTTATGATTCCAAATTCACATTAAATAAAATAAATAAAATAAAATTAAATATAATCATTTTTTTTAATTTATAGTAAAAGTACGTATTTTTGGTGCTTAATTAAAATTGGTTTACATTCAAAATGACTAATTATTGAAAAACATTACTTAAATGTTATCTTCACAAATAAAAGCAACAATATTAGTATTGAGTGTAATTTAATAAATGCACATTCCTTAATAATTGTTTCACATCATAATTTGCGTCTTTCAAATGGTATTGACAGGGACAAAAACTTTTATGGAGGTTAACTGCAGGAAGAAATGTGGAATTAAACAGATATCCAAAATAGAAGACATCAATAGTAGTATAGTAGATAGTATCCTTTTATGTTTCAAAAGGTATTTCTTCTTATATAGAATGTAATGCAATCATATATTGCAAGAAACATTTACTACATAAATTCTTACAGTAGTTGATATTTAAACAAATGTGTTGGACATCTGGGTCTATTCAGAAAAGCAGAAGTTAAAGTCTTTTTAAGGTTTTGTTACAAAGTAAAATTGGTCTGTGGCTATAGAATTATCTTTGTCTGAATATGCAGACAGAGATTACAATATCACAATGACTCATGCACATTATCCTCTTTCTTTTCTAATAGAATGAGATATTTTTCCAAGTTAATTAAAGCCTGATAAATTATAACAGATTGAAAATAGCATACTTCAAAGCGATATGGGTCTTCTTTCTTATTTCTGAGTCACCGTCAGCACTTCATGGAGTGCTTGACTTGAAATCAGATATAATGCAGTATAATGACAATTTAATGAATAATTTTGAAGAATGCTTTATCTCCCGTACCCCCCTCATGTAACCAGTGCAAATTTTTAAGTTGCTTAGTCTGGGTTGTAGGGCTTTTCATTTATTGCCCTAAATGTGTTTGCAATTTAAGTGTTTGCTTTTGATATTATTAATGATAATCTTTACCTGAGTCTAAATCCCAAGTCAACACGGACTTCTTAACCTTCTCTCAAAAAAACAATAATATTGTCATGAAAAAGCAGGCAGTAATGTAATCCCAGTCTATTTCCAAGGGATCTGGGTGCGAAGTTATCAGCTTTGAACCTAATGAAGGTGATTTTCTACTTTACAGCGATTAAACCGTTGAGCTTTCAGTCACATTTGATAACTCCAGACCCAGACGTTTCTGGTTAAGTTCTGGGCTTCCAGAATTCCACCTGTATTCATTAACTGTTGAGAAGTCATCTATTTATTTTGACTAAACTTAGCTAATTATGATATGCTTTCATCTCAGTTAGGACATGTAATTTTTATGTAAAATGTGTTAATATTTCCTGGGAATGGTATAAATAGCTATTTAGATTTCCTTTTGCAGTTTCTTTTGGAACATTGCAATATCATGGAGGTTCTTTATGAAATTCCAGGCCATCCTTGAGGGTGTTTTAAATACCTGTACTTGGTACTGTATATCAGTTGGGATACTGTCATGAAAGAAGAGTCTGATCTATAAAAGAGCCTTTAATACCCAAAAGTTTAAAAAATCAAAATTGAAAAAGAATCTAAAGAGCAAAAATATTATCAGGACACTTTCTCCCACCAGAGCATACATTGATGTAACATTACTGACAAAACCTGGGAGTTTAGGAAGTGAGACATCAGACTTCAGCAGTGCCTGTATGGTCTTCTGAATTGTGATCATATTTAAGCCCTCCGACTATGTACTGTATTAGCTAATTCAAATCCTAACAAATGTGACATAGAGACAAAATGTATAGAAACTTATGTGGCATTACTCACCTGGTTGGCAGTCTGCCCATGAGGATGAGGCTAACGAGAACTCTCTCTCTTAATGAGGAATGAGCCAGGGAGTAGCTGCAAAGGATGAAAATGTGCAAGAAAAAAGCTAAAAGTTTGCTTAGAGGTGAGGTATTTGTGTGTTGGAGAGCGGAAGCGGGCAAGATGTAAAATTTGGCCTCCTCTCAGACGTCTGTTTAAGAACACCATTTAGTCTCACTAGAAATATTTGTCCATGTCTTTTAAAGGTGATTATTTAAATAACTCAGCTGATTTAATGTATTTTAGCAGACATTTCTTTTTTTTCCAAGCAGGATAGAAATGTTCCTATCCTCTTCTTAAGTCAAATAATTTCACCGATTTATGGAAGTAAGAGCCTGTGTGGAAAACAAGCCTGATTCCTCTTTGGTATTTGACACCCATGCCTTAATTGAAAGAGATGCCCTAAACGTTGATTTATTGGAATTTCATACAGATCCAGCAATAACACAATTCTCCACAAAGTTTTAGTTGGCAGTGTGGTTCAATTCTGTGCCAGACAAATGGTGTTGCCAATCACTGCTTCTAGGCTTGTGATCTGATCTGAAGCAAAACTTGTCATGAAATACATTATCTCTGTTAACCCTGGAAGTTACAAAAAACTAAACAAAACAAAAATGCAATAGCATCAACAGCAGGGCCTAATGTGAAAGACAATTACATTATGTTAGCAATGTTAGCATACAAGGGTATAGAGACTCCCTTCCAGCTTCTGGAAATCTGCCTCCTACCTTATTCTTAAAGGACACAACTGTGGAACATGAAGGCTATTGAGCTCTTCAGCACTGAGCCACTTACAGTATAGTCTTTACTATTGAAAGGTTTTCCTAAAAATACTTTGTGGAAAAGGGTATAGCTGTTACTTTCTTTAACAGAGTGGGTTATATCTTGAAAGGTACATTATAATGCTCTTTTGGACATTTCAAACGCTTTTATAATGTCAGGAAAAGGCATTTAAAAACAGAATACGAGCCATGCCGTGATACAGGGATCTGTGAAAGTGGTAATGCAGGCTACATGGGGAGAGTGGATTTTAATACCTCAGAGGCTGAACATTAAAGAGCCCTCCTGCCCCCTACTTAACACAGCCCCTGACCCTTTACAACCCTGGCCTTGCTGTGCTGCAAACAAACTCCTGTGTTCCCAAGAGCTTAAAACAAGCTCTGCTGATTAGACTGCTGGTGTTTATTCTTCTCCCCTGCCTTGGATAAACCAGGAGACTGAGCAGAATGTGGAGACACAGCAGGTTTAGTGCTGAATTTGTTTAGCGGTACTGGCAAGCCTATCTACTAATTTAATTATATTTTCTACAATTAAAATGGTACTTTCTACTGTAACTCCATAGATTGCTGTATTAACTGCATTTTAAACATTGTAAAAAAGGCTAATGTTAAAAAAGATCGGGGGCGGGGTGGGTAAATGTTGTAATATGGAAGGGTAATACCACAGTACCATATGCTTGCTCAATCTTGGGCATCATCAGCAGGAGCTAGCAGCTTTTCTCGTTGTCAGGCCAGTTCACAGTCAATTGCCTTTGATCTCTCTGGCAGCCTCATTGTACAGGCATACCCCAATGTCTTCTTCAGCTGTCTACTATACAAACTCGGCCTGTAATTCAGAGGCAGGTACTACAATGTTTTCTTAGGTGTGCCGAGTTCCCATAGCTGGAAACAGCCAAACGTTTTAACACGTTGTGCGAAATATCCTCTTTGTATCCTTACAGGCTGTCAGCGCAATGCGTGGTAATTATTTGTGCTGACTTAATTGACAAAGCCACATCAAGTACGATTTGTCTGTCATCTTTATTTCAGACTTGAGCCATGTTTGTTGTCTTAAAATAAAAAAAAGATGTGCTGCTATATTTTCATTCAAGACCAACAAATATGAAATTCATCGCACCAACAGTCCTAACGTCACGCGTTATGTAACATGCTTTATGTTTCAATCATCATATTTGATGACTCTGCTTTCGTTTTCATCCCAATTTTTCAAGTCGCAAAGGTATTTCTTCGCAAAGGTATTCACATGCTGGCTATTTGAATTAGGACAGCTAAATTGTGTTCGTGGGATTTTGTCTGTACGCGCTATCACATTCTGCACGTGTTACAGTCACACCTTGCGCTGTGTTTCCCTCGTACTGTGGGAGCCGTACTGTAGAGGCTCCGGTTGCGAGTTACCAAGAAATAAGAGGCTGTATTATTATTATTATTATTATTATTATTATTATTATTATTATTATTATTATTGACAGATATCTAAACTATAATTTAATCCATTTTTTCTGTAACCGATGCTACAATAAATATTTGCATCGTAAAATTGCATTAGTGTTGCTTCATTTCGTAATGCTGGTTCAGCAGGGACATCTGAAAAAAAAAACTATTTGATACAGTATATCCTCGGCCTTATGGTCTTAAAACGATAGTATCAAAGGATGTCACCAAGCTAGCGAAAGCCTTGTAGCAGATTCATTAACAATTTAATGATCACTTGACACTTTCAATGATTCGTAAGACGTTTCAGAGAGCAGTGTGTGAATTTGCCGAGTTTGAAATTTTACACTTTGCATCGCAGCTGGGATACATCTGTAACGGTGCAATTTGTCTCGACCATAAAATTAGCCAAACCCTGGAACACTGAAGACAGCACTGCTTTACCGTTTAGTTTGAAATATCAGGTCGCAACACTTAAATCTTTAATAACAACAAAAGCTGACTTTCCCTTTTCCTGACGATTGCATTGCATATTTTGTCATAATAATAGTCTGCCTCCAGCCGAAGATGGAAATTATCTTTAAAGACGCAGTCAGATCAAAGCAACTTTGTAAAAAAAAAAAGACATTCATTAACACGAATTGCTATATTCTCTCCAACCGTTTTTCTTTCATTTGAAATATAGAAAAGAAAATCGGTTGCCTTCAAATTGTATTTAGACCATAACATCCAAGATGCATGGTACACTAAATATTTTTAAAAAAATAATTTGATTAGGGTCCTTCATTTAAAAATAGTTAACTGATAATGCAAAACGTATTTATACCACACACTGCGCTATGCAAAAATATATATTTGGGGGGACTGGAGAATTATGTTTGATGTTCAGACCTCCAGAACGTGTGAATGCAGATGTGAGAAAAACCTACAGGAGCAGAAGTTGCAAAACTGGGAGGGGATTTCCCCCACCCTTCAAGTCAGCAATGGGATATGGTAATTAGAGCTAGCCAATGTGGGCTAGCTACTCCACTGTGAGACATATAAGGAACCCGTTTTGGCAGGGGCTACATCATTTCACTCTGTCACTTGAGAATTGAGAATTTTCCCTTTCCAACGAAAGGTTTCCAAAGCTTCTGTTCCTCAAGGAGCCCGAGAAGTTCAGAATCTCCAACCTACAATGGAAATCTCGGAGAGCTGCCATTTTTCCCCTACGCAGGTCTTTTATGATAACTCTTGCATGTCTTCGCCAGAGGCCTCTGAATTCGTTGACAGCTTCGACCAAAGGCTGGCTGTTCTGGGGGAGCTTCAAGGCTCGGACGAAGATGAGCATGTGAGAGTCCCCAGTGGCCACCACCAGGCTGGTCACTGCCTGATGTGGGCTTGCAAAGCCTGCAAGAGGAAATCCAGCACAGTGGACCGCAGGAAGGCAGCGACCATGCGGGAGAGGAGGAGGCTGAAAAAGGTGAACCAGGCTTTCGAGACTCTCAGGAGGTGCACGTCAGCCAACCCGAACCAGCGGCTGCCCAAGGTGGAGATCCTGCGCAATGCCATCCAGTATATTGAAAGCCTTCAGGATCTCCTGAGAGAGCATGTGGAGAACTACTGGAGAACTCCAGGCAGCCTGCCTGGAGAGAGCAGCTCAGAACCTGGGAGTCCCACCTCCAACTGCTCGGACGGAATGGTAATTAAGAATTTTCTTCATCTGTCTGTCTAACATCCAGGCTGTTTTGTGTCAGCAAAGATTGGTCAAAGAAAATCTAAACAAACAGATTGTGATGTTGATTTATAGTGTGAAGTCCAATTAAAGCTTTTCTCTTTTGTAGGTAGGGAAGGCATCTGTGACTTCATTTGCTTTTACCATTATCTTTCTCCAGGCTTTGTTTCTGCCAATAGTGCTCACAGGAGATTTCTCCTGTTGAAGTTCTGTGTTTGATCATAATAGTAGCAGTGATTGTAAAAAATCAGTGAATAACCTAATTTGTTGCAGGAATGCAGAATTTTGAAATACCTTTGTTATCTACTGTATCATAATGTAATGAATACCCTGAAAACGTTTAACAGCATTTTTCCCCTTTCTTTACCGGGTTGCCCCCCCCAGGGTTTTTAATAGATGGTTTAAATGGATGCAGAGATAATGAGTTTAGCACCACTAGTTGTTTTATAGCCTAATAAACTCTTGAAAAAATGAACTTGCTGAAGTCTGGCAAAGTGTACATGTTGATGCATTCTTTCCTGACTGCATTTTCTATGTTGGTGCCAGGATTTTCTGCAGATTTACCCTGGGAAAGTTTCATCTTGCACAAATCGGTGTAGCTTCCACTGATACAATCAATTCGACATGCCTAATGTGATGCATATCATGGGTGGTGCTTGGCTTTGGCTGTAAGGCTTTTAGGAAAAAGAAATCCTGGGTGCATATACTGTAGCACTTAGAATAAATTTCTCCCCTTTCCTCTGAACTATACTGTACCATTGACATCAGTGTTTGGTCATTACCAGATACTGTACATGGTCTTATTTATACAAAATACACACATGAGTGCGTTTTAAATATTTCAAAACTGAACAGCTGAAAAAAAAATCATTTAAAAATCTATGAAAATCCTTTTAGTGTCAACCTCTACAGCCATCTAAAGCTACAGAATGAATGGGCATGTTTCTGGTTTGTTTCCACAGATCGAGTGCAACAGCCCAGCTTGGTCTCGGACGAACAGTGGCCATAGCAACATGTTCACTCAGGAAATACAAAATGGTAAGCCCTCCCACACATTTAGTGTTGTCATTATAGGATAGATTTAAATTGAGATAACATGAATTTGCTGTTTTATTTGCATTTGTGGATCATTATATAACAATATTCAGCTAGAAAGAGCTTGTTTTTCATTAGAACTTTGTGTTTTATTAGAAACAGACACCTGGAAAAGCAGATAATACTGGATAACACAAAATAACATCTGATTATTGAAGGTGTGGATTTATTGGCAGTATACATAGCTTTCAGGGTTCCATTCTCACTAACTTGAAAAATTTCTGAAAGTTTGTAGATTGCTTTGATAATTCATCTACTTAGAAATGCCAAAGTCTTAAAACTTGTCTCATCAAAAGTGATATTTTACTCAAAGTTTTTTTGTTTTTCTGCCCACTCAGTGACCTACAGTGAGAGGGCTCCTGTGGTGTCTAGTCTAGAATGCCTGTCAAGTATCGTGGAACGACTTTCTTCGGCTGACCCTTGTGGTCTGGTAACAAGAGATGTATCTGTCCTATCACCATCAAGCCCTGACTCCCAACCCCACACCCCTGGGACCCCTTCAACAAGACCCATTTATCATGTGTTGTGAAGCATCTGTTACCAAACCAGCACATATCCTGATAATATATTCATTATGCTTTCACTGTGTGGTGTGGGTAGTGGCATGTTAAGGAATGCCTATTGCTATGGCTATGTACTGTATATAGGAACTACATACAAAATGTATATAGGTAATGTAAATATACCAGTTACTGTAATCTTTTTATACTTAAAATATATTTAATTGAACAAGTGTTATTAAAAAACACCAAATGCATTTTCATTGTTTTCTAAAATGTTAATAAATCATATTTAAGTCATGCTTGTTTGCTCTTTTAATTTGAAATAATATGGTTCAAGGTGTTTTTTTCCTCTTTCTACTAGCACATTTATTCAACTCACTAGAGGGTGTCTATTTTGTGATGATTGAACTTGGCCAATACAACTGTGACAATGAGACGTTGAGTTCTGAAATATTGTTGCCGGCACTCCCCCTGAAAACAAAAGGTCACTCTGTCTCACAGGTGGCCACGGAAAGCTGAGTCAGCAGATGGGTGTATCAGTGTGTGAGAGAGCAGGACAGGAAGTGAACTCAGCCAGGGGGGGCGGAGGTGTGTTTGTATATGCGTGAGCTGGGATTTGTTGTTGTGGCAAATGCTGGACATCTTCAACACTTTGGAAAACATTGTTTCAGGCAAATGGTTTGAAGCTGACACTTACTTAAAAAAATAGTGCGTAGACCTGTACAGATTGAGACAAGTGGTGGGGGGAGAGTCACATCTCCACTTACATTTAGCACTACAGCTCTGTATTTCTAAAACAATGAATAGACGGAGATGAAGGATTGGGTGTTAACTGGTGTCCCACAGTATTTTTCATTAGTTTGACTCTTCTCTCTTCTCAACAGCTCATATAATCTTAGAAGACCCCATACTCACTGGCTTATGAAACTGATTTTGAAAACTGGTAACATACAATGGCATTTGCAAAGAAAATTAGTAATTATTTGAATTTTGTTGTGAAGATTTGGATACCGAAAGAAAAAAACAGACAAACTTTTAAAATGAAAAGGAAAATGTGTTTATGTACTTTATCGGCAAATTGAATTATAATCAAACTAAAGTTCAATCCAAACTATTTCATTCACCAGAAATGTTTTATGGAAATGCATATCTGTTAACATATACTGTATGTAGAATAGCAACACAAACTGCTTGGCAAGGTCCTTCATTTAGCACAATTCCAGAAAGCTGTCTAAGGTAAAAGATCAGGCAAAAAGTCATTTTAGGAATGATTTGTGAGCAATATTACACATTTAACATCCATCCATTTTCAAAGTGCTTCTCCCAATCCAGGGTAATGCGAGAGCTGAAGCCTGTCCCAGCAAGCAACAAGCACAAGACAGGATCCATCCAGGATGAAATGCCAGTCCATTGCAGGGCAAACACAGACACAAGCATGCACACACTCCATGTCCAGACTTGAACCCAGGACTCTGGTGCTGTGAGGCAATGTTAACCACTGCACCATTAATGCAAATAGAGAGAAAATAGGGGTGAGCCCTCATTCTGAACCATTATTCTCAAAATGCCAAAAACAGGAGCAATGATAGTTCAAGAAACTGCATAATTGGAGCTGGAAGAATCTGACCTCATGTAGCCAGTTATGGCTAAATCTGAATGAATTAGGTTGACTGACTGGTTAAATTCCCTAGATGAAGGTGGCGATTCTATTATGCCTGACTGTTCAATAATTCGTACAGTAAAAAAAGCAGCACACAATTCAGGTATTTGAGCTAGTTCTTCCTAATGATGTGAAAGTGATTTACTGAATCTTGGAAACTTGCTACATAATTGTGATGGCTTAATTTTGCCAGACGGTTTTTGTAGATTGTTCTTTTCCGCTGATAAATTTGATTTCTTCTGGTTCAGAAAGCCACCTCTTTTCTTATTTTGATTGGATTAGAATAGACCCAATTTATTTTGAGGTTAGGATGTGAACCTCTTCTCCTATGTGTCTTCTTGAAATGCGTCTTGTGTCTATTACTACAGCTCACGTAATGTCTTCATGATTCATTTCCTCTTGATTGTCTATAAACAGTGTAGAAGTTCACTTGTTTCATGCTTGAATGAGTGCAATCAAGTCTGTCAGTCTAAGATTGACTAAGCTGCTGTCTCTCCTTAACATACTTTGTCTCTTCATAGTAGAACTATCACAAACTGAAGAACAGTCGTATCGGCCTTACTGAGGAAAAAAAAAGCCATAATATATGGAATTAAGATTCAAAGCTATATTTATAAAAGACTAATCACAACAGCAGGCTATCCACCTTGTTTCTTTATTCTAGGATCTAGGATCTAGGGGCCAGGACAGAAATTTAAAGTTGCCGTTAAACCAGTGAGGTCTTACTGTACATGTTTTCATACTTGAATGTCCTGACTTGATTTACAGTGAACAATATGATAATATAGCAGAAAATTATCTCTGCTAATACTATTTTTATTGCAATAAATAACCTGTATATTAAAGCTGATTTTTATGTTATTTAATGTTTTGTTGTGACAACTTCCAGATCAAATATTACACACACATCAGCAGTCCAGCATTAGTATTGCTCATTGTCTGTGCAGAGTAATTACACAACAAAATCGAAAGTGTAACAGCGACTCTGCTGTGTACTATTTGTATGTTTTGAGCATCAACAATTTACTCATTACAAGTGCCTTTCTTACTTTTTTAACAACTTGAAATTGACTGTTATTAATACAGCTTAATTCAGGTAAGAAGATATCAAGTTTGGTAATCTTTTATTCTAATCCTGAAAAACGTAATCACAGCATCTCAGGGTAAAAATACACATTAACAATATAAAGTGTTGTAGTAGCTGATCTATTACATTTACCCATGACTGATTTAAAGTGTTCCTTATCATTAAATGGAAGTTTAATGAAGTTCAGGAGGGATACCAACAACAAGTCAATTGCACACAGATGCACCTAATCACCATCCTTATGGAAATTAGCTGTATATATTGAACACAAACACCTCCCCTTGTATTTGTCTACAGCATCCCTCCTCCATCCCATCTTCACCTTGCAGCTAACCCTTGGTTCACTCAGTCTGAATGGGGTTCGAGTCTACTCATCCCATAGCCAGGAGGCCACCCAATTACCAAGTAGGTTATGCCAAACTTATCTCACCAAATGTTCAAAACATTCACAAAGCTTTCACTTCTTAGATGTTGTTGCTCCCAGTAAACTTCATTTTATGATAGAGGGATGCTTTTTACTCTCATCATTGCTGTAGAGACAGAAATAGACTGTTTTTGTTATTGATTTTAAAAGATGTAAGCTGTAATTTGATTTCAGTGTAATATAAACATGAGAAGAAATACTGTGTGATGTCTGGCTGTGTAATCCTAGTCAGTAGTAGGGCAACAAGGCATTCATTTGATGTGTATGTCAAGAATAGATGGGAACTGTGACTTGGTGCTATAAAGGAAACACAACTCAAGAAAAGAAATCATTTTGATCCAGTCTAAAGACACCCTGCAGCCTCAAATCACTGAGCTGCATTCATACTGTATCTGTTGTCACAGAAGGTTTTAGATACAAGGAGGTTCTCGGTGAAGGAGAGATGAACATTAGCAACATGTCTGCCTCAGTGCTGGTTTCTTTTTGTATTGAGCATAGCTTATGCTCCATTGAGGCTTCTATTTCACTATATAATGCTCCAGCCAGTAAAATACAGTTCATTGAAGTCATTTTCAACTCCAGCAGCGGAGTTCATGATTCATACAGTAAGTCATTCATCTCAAGAAATGTAAAATACACAGTAAGAATAAGACTTATATGTGTCACCAATAAACAAAAAAGTTAATGTGAGTTGAAAGGCCCTGTCTGCAATATTATTTGAATGCAGGATGACAAAGAATGCTATTTTTTTTCAACACAATCTTTTTGCTTTTTTCACTTAGAATAAATGTGGCTGTGTATTGCCTTAGGGGACCTGAGTTCTTCTATTATTGTTGAGTACTAAGCAGTTGCAGATATACTACAGCCTGGATACATTACTTATATATAGGAAATAGAAACTTCAGGCAATATTTTTTTGTGAATAACTGTGGCATTTAGGTCCGTGTGACTTCTTTCATTTTAATCACATTTATTCTCACATCAAGGGAATAAAATTAACTGATTTAATTCACTTTTTGGGGTTATAGATCTTCCCTCCTAAACAAATAAATCGATTGACATACAGTAGATGTCAATGCCTGTCTAACAAAGGTTTAAGTTCTTTAACATTTTACACACTACACAATGAAAGTAACATCATTCTGCCACAAGGTGGCACACAATAATCACCTTGCTTGAATTTTTGGCATATTCTGCGCTTCTGCATTACATTTTACTAAACTATTATTGGAACAAGACTTTGATGGGCCATTAGACTCAAGTCTCTTAATGGTGACTGTTTTTTAGTCAAAGTTCGACATTAAATGCTGGTTTGGTAGTTTGCCAGTTCCAGGTGGGATTTTTTTTAAATAATCTTAATCTACTTCTAACAAACTTGAAAAAGCACTTTTCATTTGTCAACTAAAAAATTCAACGAAGGTAGCCAATAAACTTCTTCTATACATTTTCATTAGCCATTTAATCCAAAACCGAGTGGCAGAGAACCAGATCCTAACTCTGCCGGCAATGCAAAGCAAGATAGCATCACAGTGGACAGACACATTGGGAACAATTTGGTGATACACATTAAGATAGACTGAATGCTTTTAGCCCATGGCAGGAAACATGACTACCTGTAGAAAATCCCATGAGCACAGGAAGACCTTGCAACCTCCAGATAGAAGGATGTCAACTCAGCTACTGTTCAGTAAATTGTGCGTGGAAGATGATGTTTTCTTTTAAAAAATCTCTTTCAGGAATTGCACAGTGATGTGGCAACTAGCATTATTGTCTTACAGTTCTTGAATTCCTCTGAATTCTTTTGATGCTCTAGTTTTGTCCCAAATTCAAAAGACATGCCGTGTAAGTTGGTTGGCATCTCTAAGTTATTTCTAAATTGTCTTATTGTTTGTGTGCTTAAGCTCCAGTGCTCTATGACCCTGAAGTGGGGTAAGTGGTTATTGAAAACGAACGAATAGAAAAGCCTTCCAGCACAAGTGATGTATATCATGTTGTATCACTTATGACAGCATGTTTTTGCAAGAGAGATGGCACAATGAAGAAAAGCCCATTACAACACAGTTTTCTACAGTGG